TTGATTAATCCAGGTTCGTATCGATTTCTTTCATTTATCAGGAAAATTCCTTTTCTTTTGTTCTTTCGTAATTAATCGAATTTTGGATTCTTTGAGGAATTTAGCGTTGAATTGTCTTTCTCTTTACGGTTTGCTTCTTCTTGATCTTGAAAACTCGGCTCTTTAGTACTATTGGCTACTTTGATTGATTTCGATATTTGTGTTTTGTTGAACAGCTAACATTTAAGGGTTGGTGTTGTTACAATCAAAGGTGATACAGCTGAAATTGAGCTGTCTTAATCACGAGTTTAATTCTTTGTTTTTTGTCTTGCAATCTAAGGAAAGTGTTCTGTTTTTTGTAAGACGACTTAATGATACTGATCAAGAACAATTCGATTGACTTGTTTATATGGTTTGTTTCGATTTTGTCAAAAGGGGAAAAGCACATGAGCATTGCTTACAATTGTGATTTGTTTGTGATTATCTGAGTGGAATGATCTAATGGAATAAATGTGTGTTTTGTTTGACTTGTAGATTTATTATATATTCTCAAACTAGGTTTGGTCAATGGTTTGGTATTGAAGCCTCTTTTTTTTGCCATGGTGGGTTTAGAAGCATTATACTGTATTCATTTGTAGGTTTTACGACAATGACTTTACTTTTTTGACAAAGAATTTAAAAAGTGTGGTTGATGACCAGATCTGCCGTTTAAAAAGGCGGTCCTGGTCTGTTTGGCCATGTGTCTCTTCTTCTTCTTTACAGTAGATTTTATTCAGAAACATAAAGTTTCTGCTATATATCACGACTCACGGTGTTAACAATTGCAGGTTCCTGGCTTCTCTACTGTCAGGAGGCCTTGAGTTTTGGAGTTACGACAGTAGAGAGAAGAAACACTTGTGGGTGACTTTTGAAAGCTCTCCTTTATCGAGTGCTGCACATTTTCGCTGTGAAACTACAATAAAGAAAATATGGGAATCTTTTCACGCAGGTCAAGATCTTGTCTCTGATGGAGCCTATGCGATAAATTCTTTTCATATTTTTTTCATTATTTGGTCAGTCTTTCTAAAAGTGCAGAGAACCTTATTAAAATTTGTGTTTTGGTTATATCAGTTCGATAAGTAGAAGATCAAAAGATGGGATGAAGATTATTGCAACAGCATTTTTTGGAGTAACTTTCGGCTTTCTGATTGGAATATCTTTTCCATCATTATCAATCACTAAGGTTGTAGAAACAACCTTCATCTTTCTATTCTGTGTCTTTTTTAGATATTTCCCTTTGTTTATCTTATCAAGATTTTTTTTTTCGTATTCCAGGTGAGTCTCCCAACAAACTTTCTTCCGTCAAACGATCTCTCATATATAGAGGAAAAGGGTTCGGCAATTGCAACTCCAGATAGTCATAAAGCTTGGTCATCATCAAAGAGTAATGATAGCAGCTCATCTGGTCCCATCGACAAATCAAAGGCATGCTTCCATTCCTTTATTTTGACTTAGAATGTCTTGGAACACTGAAAATATTTATACAAGTTTTATCTACACCCACCCATTCACACTCAAATCAAAGGCATGCTCTAAGGTCTCCCCAATGATACAAGAGTTGTTTTGAGGATTCTTATGTCTGATTAGTTTTGGAACGTGTTAATGGATTAATTGAGATTTCCAAAATAACAGATAAGTTCTTCGTGGTTTTATCTATATTTCACCTCACCAAACATGAAGGAAGCTATGTATGCAAAGAACATCATTTTGTTGACTTTTGTTCTTTGGTTTTCAAGATTAGTGGTATTAGGTACACATTTCTCCTCCCAATGTTTCATTTCTGAGTTTTCTGCAGATCTGGGTTCCTTCAAATCCTCGTGGTGCTGAAAGGTTGCCACCGGGTATGGTTGCTGCTGAATCAGACTTCTATTTGCGCAGATTATATGGGTTACCGCATGAAGTATGTACTCAAACTCTTGTTATTTTTTAGTATCATCTAGCCATTCTTTTTAGCTGCGATATAGTCTTGATGTACAAGGATTAAAGTCCTGATTAGATACTGTATTTTTTCTTGCCTTTTTGCTTCTTCAGGATTTGACCAGCCAACCAAGATACCTCGTGACATTTACAGTGGGTATTAGTCAGAAAGAAAATATTGATGCTTGTGTCAAGAAGGTTGGTTCATTCTCTTTTGTTTGATGTTTTTCAGTTTAATATCATCTCATATATGATTTATCGTCTCCTCAACAGTTTTCAGAGAACTTCACTATCGTCCTGTTTCATTATGATGGGCGGGTAACTGAGTGGGATGAATTTGAATGGTCGAAGACTGCTATACACATTAGCGTGCGAAAGCAGACAAAATGGTATCAACCTCGTTTTAATTCTTACTGGTAGATAATATTCTGGTGATGTTTATGACTATTAACTCTCTTGGCACCTGGAAATACGTTAGGTGGTATGCGAAGAGGTTTTTGCACCCTGATATTGTAGCACGATACGATTATATATTCATCTGGGATGAAGACCTTGGGGTCGAGCATTTTAATGCAGAAGAGTAAGTTTTTATAAACCTTTACATGGGTTATTTCCCTGTTTCTTGTTTTCATTTGAAAAGACAGTTTCCTTCCATTTCATTTGATCTGTTTTGATCGTTTTTATTGTCTTTCTCCAGGTACATAAATCTGGTGAAGAAGCATGGCCTGGAGATTTCCCAACCAGGCTTGGAACCAAACAAGGGATTGACATGGCAGATGACAAAAAGAAGAGGAGATCTTGAAGTCCACAAGTATGATTGACAAAAAATCCTTCATATTCAGGCCGTGTTTAGTTTTCTGCATAATGATATTTACAGATTTCCGGGATTTGAATCTTTATCAGGATAACAGAAGAGAAACCTGGATGGTGCTCAGATCCTCATCTCCCTCCGTGTGCTGCGTATGTAGAAACCTTTGTTTCTTCCTGTTATGAGTTGATGATTCCTGTAATAGGAACTGACCAATAAAGAACTTTTGTGTTGATTGACAAATCCAGATTCGTCGAGATCATGGCTCCTGTATTTTCAAGAGACGCCTGGCGATGCGTGTGGCACATGATCCAGGTTCCTATCTTCATTTGTTTGTTCATTTTTCATTCATTATCCCTCCCCTTTCCTATATCTCTCTTCTTGTCAGTCTTACTTATATGCCTTACCTAAACCGTTAACAGAATGATTTGGTCCATGGTTGGGGTCTTGACTTTGCACTCAGAAGATGTGTTGAGGTACGCGATAGGAGCTCTTGCAGTTCGGTTTCTGTCACCCAAAAGATAGGGTTGCTTGGTTTTTATTATATCATTTGTTATATGACGAAACTTCATATTTTTTTCTACACCGAAAAGCAGCCTGCACATGAGAAGATAGGAGTAGTAGATTCTCAGTGGGTCGTTCATCAAACTGTCCCCTCCCTTGGCAGCCAAGTAAACCCCTTAAATCTCACTCTATGTTTCACTCCTCTTCTTGATTTGACATTAAACTTTTTCGCTCAAAACTCCGAACATCTTTAACTTGATGTAGGGTGAGGCACAGGACGGGAAAGCGCCATGGCAAGGGGTAACAAATAACCA